GATGACGCCAAGTTATTTCGGGAAATTAGAACCAAGCGGACTGAAGAGCTGCAGAAGGACCTCTGTGGGCTCCAGGAATGGTCAGAAGAAATGGCTGCTGAGATTCAATGTCACAGAAGTGTAGAGGATGCACCTGGGGCGTACCAACAGTAAGGAGGCGTATCATATGTCCCAACAGGATGAAGAAACTGCACTAGTTGAGACTGTGTGTGAGAAGGACCTAGGTGTGTATGTTGACAATGAGCTGAAGTTCTCAGGCCATTGTGAGAAGAAAATCAGGCAAATAAATTATTGGGTCTTATAAGAAGGTCGTTCAGATATCTAGACGGTCCGTCCTCGTAACGATCTTCAGGGTGAAGTGCTTCCCCCATCTGGGTACTGTCACCCCATCTGGTCCCCGGATATGCTAGGGACTGTCAGTTGGTTGAAAATGTTCAAGGAGGGCCACCAGACTGGTGCCTGCACTTCGGCACCTCAGCTACCTGAGAGATTGGAGCGCCTGAACTTGCCTGGCTTATACTACAGACGGGCAAGGGGACCTAGTTGGGGTGTATAAGCATCTCAGGGGGCACTACTCAGTTGATTGTCCTTACTTGGAGCTGGTGGACGCTCGCCCCACAAGGGGTCACAGCTCAAGATTGAAGAAGCCGCAAGTCCAGAAAACCGTGAGGGCAAACTTTTCGGAGTGAGGGTTGTAAACTCTTGGAACAATCTACCAGAGAGTGTTGTGACGGCACCGAGTGTGAGGCTCTTTCAAAAAAGACTTGACCACACTGGAGCGGGTTCAGGTACATTCAGGAGCCGGTGCATGCCCAATGTTGCCAACAGTGCGTGACAGAGACGTGACCGATCGCCGGGCGGCTACGAGGCCGATCTTTTGGTGAAGAATTATAAATGAAAGACGTGACCGATCGCCCAAAGCGGCTAACAAGCCGATCAGTGGCGAAGGAGGATAAAAATAAAAGTAAAAAAAGCCATTCAAGGAAAGTGAGGGGCTAGATTGGAGCGCTTGAACCACCAGCAGGTTTACATCTCAGCACCACTGAAGGAGTGTCTCACTGAGCTGGCGGATTAGCCTGAAACCAGAAAACCGTTTGAAAACTCGGAGTGATGAGTTTTTTCAAGACTAATCAATATGGTTCAGGTATATTCAGGAGCTTAAAGAGATGACTGGAGCCATTATAAAGAAAGAAGTATACTTGAACTTGATTCAAACAAGATCAGTGGCGAAGAGGATAAAAGTAAAAAAGTAAAAGTGAGGTGTGAACCCCGAACTTTGAATTATGAGCGTGAAGGGATCTGGACAAAAGTCCCCTTTGGCATAAAAACCCCAGTTAAAGTGCAAAGTAGGACAAAAGCCCCTCACTTAAAGTATTCAATACGCTAGGTTAGGTTAGGTATTGCAGTCATATGGTATAAAAAATGTAATATTTTACATGTCCAAGAAGTGTTCATAAACTATAGGTAATAACGAATAAAAATATGTATTTTTTATTTATTAATATTATTTGTTCTAAGAGGCCCTTGTCCGACGGTCGAGCAAGAAGGAAGGAGCTGGGGGTGAGGACGGAAAGTGAATATCAGATGGGAGTGTAGTGGACGTCTCCCCTACAAACTGCGTAGCCACAGCCACCAGCTGCTACCGTCTTCCCTAGCAACCAAGCGTATCCGCATTCAAATGCCACCGTATCCTAGCAACCGAGCCAAAAGACCGGCGACTTCTCGGGTTTTCCCAACATGACTCATAGCGGCTGCTGGGTATATAAGCTCTGTCTCTCCATTGAGATTCATTCTGACCATTCTTCTTGGACAAGCAACACCTCCTCCTCTGCCGCTGCCTGGCGGCCTTCGCTTCTCCTCGCCTGCCTGGCGGTCCTCGCTCCCGCCAGCGAGCATGGCGACCCACCAGCTGTCCTTCTCTGAGCTTCCTCACCAACCAACTCACATTCTGGCCCATCTTCCTGAACACGCAACACCTCCTCCAGTAAGCTCCTAGCTGTCCAGCATTCATTCAACCAGGAGGCCAGCAACAGGCAACATCTTCTCTAACGAAGCTCCTGCACATCTACCTCCTTCAACAAGCTACTCACCGAACGTCTCTACTGACCAGCTCCTCACCACACGGCACCTCCAGCACCAGACTGTCTATCATATAACTATATTATACAAGAAAACCACATTAGAGTTTCCTTCCATCCTGAGTGCTAGACAACATTAATATCTCGATACCCCTACAGGAGATTACAATACAGAATAACGAGTTGATAATACCGACGGGATTTCCTCAGCTGAGTATAATAGTCTAGAGCTAGCCAGATAAAAATACGATTTACAAAAGGATGGGAGGGGGATGAATTCATGTGCTAAGTAAGGTGTTCCTTTGCAAAAGGGGGCATTTATGAGCAAATTGATTATGGATGTATCTCGTAGAAACGGCGAAGTTTTATTTAACCCCTTGACTACGAAATGGAACTTCCACAGCTGAATAAAATCGTCTGGCGGTACCCAGAATAAATTATATTAGAAGACATCGTACTGCAGGGAATAATTAGCAATCATAGCAATCAGGAAGTGGGCACCACATGTCTATTGCAATACAAAATTGATGTGAACAAAATAGTTGAGTTGGCATCTGTCCGGTATTGCATCAGCGATCACAGAGTTCAGTTTTGCTAAACAATAAGGTTTAATGGGTAAAAAAAGTAAATAATTATTATAAAAGTGATAATGTATGGGTGAAGTGTATGATTGATTTTCCACCAGTCTGCATTTTAAGATTCTGATTCGTTTTTTATCAATGATTTAAAAAAAATGCTCTAGCACGCCACACTTTATTACAATAAGATAAGATAATATAACTTATACATAAACAAATACAACATACAAATATGACAAGATAATACAAACAAGACAATTTGGTAGGCTTCAAAGTTAACTTAACCTAAAGATTATTGTGATCAAGAAAGAAATGATACGCAGTTGATGAATATGTATGAACATAATATTAGGCTTCTAGGATGGGTGAAACTTCTTTTTTCGATTTTCTGGCAATCTGATCACTGTCACAATCTCTCTTCAGCATCCAGCAGTAGTCTGCCATCATGTTCACATTCCACCTTCCTTGATACCTCTTTTCCATTTCCTTAATGTCCTGGTGAAATCTTTCACTTTGCTCTTCACTTAAACTACCTAAATTTTGAAGAAAATACTCAAGATGGGAATGCAAGAAATGCACTTTTACACTCATATTGCAACCCATGTTTTTTAATTTATTTAACAATAACTTCAACAATGTTTTGATAGTTTAGATCTTTTCTATTGCCTAAAAAACCATACACAACATTATTGAAAGTATTCCATGCTTCTTTCTCACACTGGTTCATCGATTCAAATTGGTGGTCCAACATTAACTTTCGGATTTGAGGGCCCACGAAAATGCCGGCTTTGATTTTTTCATATGTGACTGATGGAAATTCCAAACATATGTACCTGAAACAATCACTCTCCATAACTAGGGCTTTTACAAATTGTTTCATTAACCCTAATTTAATATACAGAGGAGACAACAGCACTTTCTTGGGGTCAATCAATGGTTCATGTATAATATTTTTTTTACCTGGCACAAGAACCTGTCTAGGTGGCCAGTGTTTTTTGTCCCAATGTTCACGTCTTGCTCTGCTGTCCCACTCACACAAAAACATGACATTTTCATGTATCCACTCTGTTGACCAAGCAACAAAGCATTGACTTTGAAATCTCCACAAACCAACCAACCATGATCTTTGTAATGAACTTTCTCTAGAAGTATTTAAAAATTTTCATAAGTTTCCTTAAGATGAACAGAGCGAGCCACAGGAATTGATGAAAATACATTTCCATTATGAAGTAAAACTCCATTGAGACTTGTTGAAAGATCAATGAACAACCTCCATTCAGTAGCTGTATAGGTAATGCCAAAATAGTTGATTAAAACAGACACATTACTACAATAAACCAAGGAGCCTTCCTCTGAAAAAAAAAAACTAATTCTTGTTCACGTTGCCTATACCATGAAAAATATGTCCCCTTGGCCAATAACTTCGTTGATTTCAACCTACTGTAGATCCTAAAAGTTCAGCAGACTCCTTTGGTAAATTCAAATACCTAAACAGATCGATAAATTCACTCTGGGTAAACACCTCCGGTACATCACAAATATCTTCAGGTTGATAAACATCACTTCCGTTACCTGACGATGAATCACGGTCAGATTCTGATGACGCAGGGACTGGAACCTCAGGACCATGAGGCACTGGGCTCATGGCAGATGGAATCTTGTGATAAATGATTCCTTGTTTATTTTTTTTTATTATATCCATTTATCTTCACGGAGCAAAAAACAGTCATCACCATGTTTTTTAGGCTTCCGTCATACCAGAGGGACTCCAAATAGCCTAACTTTTTTCTTACCATATTTCCACAGTCTTAAACCATCAACACAAGTGCGACATACTTTATGTGGCGCCCACGGTTTATCTAAATCACATAGTTTAACTCCAAAGTAGGCAAAATATGCATTTTTTTACGGATGCGATTATTTCTTGTTGTTGCTTTTGCACAACAAAGCACCCACATATGTAGCAGAATACGTTTGGACACTCTTCCTAGTCCCCTTGGTCCCTGGTCACCTAGCAGCAAAGTAGGTCCCTGCTGTAAGTCGAAAGTTGAGAATTCGTATTCAGGGACAAATTGTTGGAACTTCCAATAACTTGCTTAGACATAAAAACCATTGACTCTTCAGGCTTCTACGACCTCGACTCTTCAGGTATCTACGCCCTTAACTCATAAGACATAAGGCAAGCATGAACTTAGCATGCTTCCCTGTTGGGCGCTGTAAGCGCTTCTGCGCTTCACCTTACACAAGGATGTACGGGGGTGCCCAATAAATGGAAAAAAAAAGTTTGGATTGTTCAAACATCCAGGAGAAAACATATTTACAACAGGAATAGTATCTAAGTAGAGCAAAACAAGGAGATTTATTATTACATCCACGAGGAAAGGAAACAACCTGGTTAGGTAATTCAATAAAAAAAATTCTCACGACTTGTAATAGGAGCCCTATACACAGCACCAATTAGTATACTTTTCATTTTTATAATGATCTCTCACCATACCGCTTTATCATACAAATGACCATTCAAGAAATTTACATTGTCCACAAGAGAAATAAGAGAATTCCTCACTCATATAACCACACCTCTATCAGGTTCATTCTGCACACCATCGAATTTACTATTTAACTTTCACTAAAAAAAATGACGGACTTTTATGTTTACCAGTAAATTAAATTAAAAAAAAATAATAATTTATTGTATTATCAGAGTTTACTAGTCTATTATACCACTTAAGCACTGGACTGGTATTTATTTATTTCCCTTTATTATCTATATTTTATAATATTTCTGGCTTCACTGCATTTTCATTTCCAACAACTCAATTAATTAATTGAATTATTATACATCGAAACGCGTGGAAGTCGAATACTGTACAGTATAATGCTACTATCAGTCGTCACTCACCAGCTCTGCTCACCACGGAATCTCAGAGCGTTCTGCCGGGAGTGCAGTACGATATGTTGGGCAAACACTTCATTTTTACCTAGATATCACTTTTAACTGCTACCGCGGCATTTAACTCCAACGCTGTGCCTCAAATGATTCAATATGTTCTCATGCCCGGCAGGGCGAAACCAAGGTACAGTATTTCACCATTTATTGTGGATATAGACTGTGGCTGTACAGGAACTTACTAGATCTAGTAGTGTTTGTTGCCGTAACTGCCATGGAGCTGTTTATTTATTTTCGTGTATATGCCCCTCGAGCCATGACTTGTACTTTCATAACTACCAATTAGTCCACCAACACCAGCAACTAGCAAATCATTAAGGTTTTGTTTGAAGTAATGATCCACACACAGACTTTTGGTGGCGAGGACGGTGTTGGTGAGAAGACTGGTAGTAGTGATTACCTTGGTGAAGATGGATAACTCCTTCTTAACCCGCGTGGTGGTCACGACGTTCGTGGTGTAGGACGTGGTGTGCCGCGTCACGTAAGAGGTACTCCTGACGGTCTTGGTCAGGATCTTGGTGTCGGTGATGGTAACAGGGATGTGGGCAGTGTGGGAGACGGCAATGGGCTCGTAGTCGACGGAGGCTTGAGGCACTTGCTTGATCTGCGTGGTGATGAGGTCGAGATGGGAGGTCCTGGTGACGTACATATCCCTCGGCTGAGTCACCACGATGGGGAAGGCACGTGTGGTGTACGCCGTCTTGAGCACCACCTCGGCATTCACCTCTGGTATCACCTTAGTGATATACACCGGTACCTGTAGAATACAACCAGGTGAGATTACACCATGGCTCGCCTTAACACGATAATGATGAATATTAATTTCCGATAATCCTTTAGATCTACAATCCAAGAAAGTGCTCGTGGAGAAGTCAGAAGCATCTCACAGGTGTGAATAAAAACAGGCAAGGATAGTCAGCGTACCACAGGAAAGGCCGTTGGTTAACTCAGATTTAATTACGTATTATGCATTCCTTCAACACAGGTAAAATTCATTTTATGCACCAAGACCTGATGAAGTCTCTGTCTCAAGTTTAAATTGATGGTCTATCTCCAGAACACCACTTGGCTACTTTAGGAGTCAAATGAAAAAGTAACACTGCCTGACTTAGGTATGACATAATCAGTTGTAATTAAGTGACCAAAAGTAATTAGTAATGAATTATTCAGTGTACAGCTTTGACTTATTTTGTGTAATGCAGTTCGTATTATAGATCATTTCGCCAAACTTTGATAAAAAATAAGCTGGATACTACAAGTATAGCCACTAGAATTATTTAATAATTTATTTTTAGTTTACACGAGTTGAGGAAGAATGGCAGTACTTTTTAACTTAATTTCCATTTCTGTCACACTACATTCTTTTCTAATAATGCAAGGGGGGACCTAGTTGAGGTGTATAAGCATCTCAGGGGGCACTACTCAGTTGAGTGTCCTTACTTGGAGCTGGTGGACGCTCGCCCCACAACTTTTACTTTTTTTTTACTTTTATCCTCTTCGCCACTGATCGGCTTGTTAGCCGCTTGGGCGATCGGTCACGTCTCTTTTCCTTTATATTCTTCACCAAAAGGTCGGCTCGCTAGCCGCCCGGGCGATCGGTCACGTCTCTGTCACGCACTGTTGGCAAATACTGGGCATGCACCGGCTCCTGAATGTACCTGAACCCGCTCCAGTGTTGGTCAAGTCTTCTCCTGAAAGAGCTCACACTCGGTGCCGTCACAACACTCTCTGGTAGATTGTTCCAAGAGTTTACAACCCTCACTCCGAAAAAGTTTGCCCTCGCGGTTTTCCGGACTTGCGGCTTCTTCAATCTTGAGCTGTGACCCCTTGTGGGGCGAGCGTCCGCCAGCTCCAAGTAAGGACACTCAACTGAGTAGTGCCCCCTGAGATGCTTATAAACCTCAGCTAGGGGTCACAGCTCAAGATTGAAGAAGCCGCAAGTCCAGAAAACTGTGAACAAACGAACCAACATTGAGCAGGCCAACAGTGTGGAGCCAATGTTTTCGGAGCAAGAGAAGATAAATGATAAGGAAAAGTAATCAGAGACGTGACCGATCGCCCAAGCGGCTAACGAGCCGATCAGTGGTGAAGAAGATAAAAGTAAAAAGAAAGTAAAAGTAAGAACAGAATATGGATATAGATAAATAAGTGAATTAAGAGCCTCTAATAAAAACACTCGATTGTAGCCTTCACTAACTGGTCTGTATTCCTTGACGTAGGAGGTGATGTACTCCGTCTCGACGTAGCAGGGGATGGGGATGTAAGGGGGCGGGGGTGGTCCCTTCTTCTTGTTCTTGATGAAGGCCTCAGTCACGCCCAAGACCGCCACCAGCGCCACCACGGCCACTATTACCACTCCTCGCTGACTCATCTCCAGTTAGTCTGTAATTAATTAGTTTTACATGTTAAATACATTCATCAATATAAACCCAAATATTTAGTACAAATTTAATTTCTATTGAATCAGGACGACATGCAGTGTTGTATACATAATGCTTTCCCTCCCCTCACTCTCTCCATCACCAGCTGAGTCACTGTGACCTCGCAGAGAAAGCTTAATTCTCTGCTAATCATACTTTCGTTTTTCCTCTTCCGTAAACAAATTATAATTTATTCATGTTACGATAGGATTTTTTTTCAATGTAAATCTAGCTGAAAAATAGGTCGTAATAAGAATATTTCATTTGACAAACCTTGAACATAATTTTCGAGAAGATGCATTAGCGGTGCAATCAGATTTTTTTTCCGGATTGAAATATTTAACTGATGATAGTTTTACAGGAACTGTCGATAAATACATTCCTTGAGAAGTGAGATTATCAACTCGACCACTGTACGTTTTATCACCATCATGTTAACGATATACTGTAGTTCAATAATGATGGTCGCCAGCCCCCCGTCGGACCACACCTCGCTGCTGGTGTCTTGATTTGTTAGTCTGTAGATTCACGTAGCTGTCAAATTAAGTGTGACTAAGACAAGGTCAATATTGACCTAGGACTAAGAGATCTTTTTACTGGGCTCGCACCGTCCGCCTCACTGGGCCCAGCTCCCACTGATGTAGCTTACAGTAAGTTCTAGGTCAACCTTATTTTAAGGAGCATAGTAGGTCACCTTTTTCTGAGGGCTAAGAACATTGTACTGAAGGAATTAAATCATCGTACGCCAGGGTTCAATATATCTTGCTCACTGGACTAATTCATTGTACTCAGGGTTGGCATCGTACTCAAGGGGTCAATGATAATGGAAATATCAAATTTTAAACAATGTTCAAGTACAGTATGTAACACCATCAAGGGTGTAATATATATATATATATATATATATATATATATATATATATATATATATATATATATATATATATATATATATATATATATATATATATATATATATATATATATATATATATATATATATGACATAACTGGAAGCTAATCAGGAACTATGAAACAACTCGAAAGAAATCGAAACACTCGGGTAAGATGTAGATTACGTTAAATTTGGTTTGAAGTAGATTTGGTTAAGTTAGGTGAGAGGTAGATTAGGTTAGTTAATTGTAGATTAACCAAGGTTAGGGGTAAATTTAGTTAGGTTAAGACAAGTTAACAATTTCGGATAAGCGTTTGTTCTGGTTATTAGCTAATTCTACTTTCCGTACATTATTTTAAGTAAATATTCAGGACGATAAGAGTCAAATCTATTTACTTTAGCTGTTAAACATATATAAGTGCACCACATTTAACCCCTTAAATAAACTTTCATCTTACTTGAGGCAGTTATTCATCGTTTCCATGTTTTCAGTATCACAATAATCACATGCAAGGGATTAAGTTATTGTACTCGTGTTTGGCATCGTACTTTATGAGTTAAGATGTCTTACGTACAGCTAGTTGTCGTCTGTCACGATATGTGTACAGCTAGATATCGTCTGTCACATGTACAGCTAGATATCGCCTTTAACGACATATGTACAGCTAGATATCGTCTGTCACATGTACAGCTAGATATCGTCTGTCACATGTACAGCTAGATATCGTCTGTCACATGTGCAGCTAGATATCGTCTGTCACATATACAGCTAGATATCGTCTGTCACATGTACAGCTAGATATCGTCTGTCACATGTACAGCTAGATATCGTCTGTCACATATACAGCTAGATATCGTCTGTCACATGTACAGCTTGAAATCATCTGTCACATGTGCAGCTAGATATCGTCTGTCACATGTACAGCTAGATATCGTCTGTCACACGTACAGCTTGATATCGTCTGTCACATGTACAGCTAGATATCGTCTGTCACATGTGCAGCTAGATATCGTCTGTCACATATACAGCTAGATATCGTCTGTCACATGTACAGCTAGATATCGTCTGTCACATGTACAGCTAGATATCGTCTGTCACATATACAGCTAGATATCGTATGTCACATGTACAGCTTGATATCGTCTGTCACATGTGCAGCTAGATATCGTCTGTCACATGTACAGCTAGATATCGTCTGTCACACGTACAGCTTGATATCGTCTGTCACATGTACAGCTTGATATCGTCTGTCACATGTGCAGCTAGATATCGTCTGTCACATGTACAGCTAGATATCGTCTGTCACACGTACAGCTTGATATCGTCTGTCACATGTACAGCTAGATATCGTCTGTCACATGTACAGCTAGATATCGTCTGTCACACGTACAGCTTGATATCGTCTTTAACGACATATGTACAGGTAGATATCGTGTCACATGTACAGCTAGATATCGTCTGTCACATGTGCAGCTAGATATCGTCTGTCACATGTACAGCTAGATATCGTCTGTCACACGTACAGCCATCTGGCTAGATATCGTCTGTCACATGTACAGCTAGATATCGTCTGTCACACGTACAGCTTGATATCGCCTAACGACATATGTACAGGTAGATATCGTGTCACATGTACAGCTAGATATCGTCTGTCACATGTACAGATATCGTCTTTAACGACATATGTACAGCTAGATATCGTCTGTCACATGTACTGTACAGCTAGATATCGTCTGTCACATGTACAGCTAGATATCGTCTGTCACATGTACAGCTAGATATCGTCTGTCACATGTGCAGCTAGATATCGTCTGTCATATACAGCTAGCATACATCTATCGTGTCTGTCACATGTACAGCCAATATCGTAATAGATATTGTCTGTCACATGTACAGCTAGATATCGTCTGTCACATACTCTGCTAGAATATTGTCTGTCACATGTACAGAGATATCGTCTGTCACATGTACAGCTAGATATCGTCTTTAACGACATATGTACAGCTAGATATCGTCTGTCACATGTACAGCTAGATATCGTCTGTCACATAACCCAGCTAGATATCGTCTGTCACATATGCAGCAGATATCGTCACATATACAGCTAGATATCGTCTGTCACATGTACAGCTGAGATATCGTCTGTCACATGCACAGCTAGATATCGTCTGTCACACTGTGTGATATCGTCTGTCACATGTGCAATAGAGATATCGTCTGTCACATGTAGCCAGATATCGTCTGTCACATCACGTACGTCTGTCACAGTACCAGATATCGTCTGTCATATCGTCTGTCACACGTACAGCTAGATATCGTCTGTCACACGTACAGCTAGATATTGTCTGTCACATGTACAGCTAGATATCCTCTGTCACATGTACAGCTAGATATCGTCTGTCACATGTACAGCTAGATATTGTCTGTCACATGTACAGCTAGATATCGTCTGTCACACGTACAGCTAGATATTGTCTGTCACATGTACAGCTAGATATCCTCTGTCACATGTACAGCTAGATATCGTCTGTCACATATACAGCTAGATATCGTCTGTCACATGTACAGCTAGATATCGTCTGTCACATATACAGCTTGATATCGTCTGTCACATGTACAGCTAGATATCGTCTGTCACATGTACAACTAGATATCGTCTGTCACACGTACAGCTAGATATTGTCTGTCACATGTACAGCTAGATATCCTCTGTCACATGTACAGCTAGATATCGTCTGTCACATGTGCAGCTAGATATCGTCTGTCACATATACAGCTAGATATCGTCTGTCACATGTACAGCTAGATATTGTCTGTCACATGTACAGCTAGATATCGTCTGTCACATGTACAGCTAGATATTGTCTGTCACATGTACAGCTAGATATCGTCTGTCACATATACAGCTAGATATTGTCTGTCACATGTACAGCTAGATATCGTCTGTCACATGTACAGCTAGATATCGCCTTTAACGACATATGTACAGCTAGATATCGTCTGTCACATGTACAGCTAGATATCGTCTGTCACATGTACAGCTAGATATCGTCTGTCACATGTGCAGCTAGATATCGTCTGTCACATATACAGCTAGATATCGTCTGTCACATGTACAGCTAGATATCGTCTGTCACATGCACAGCTAGATATCGTCTGTCACATGTACAGCTTGATATCGTCTGTCACATGTACAGCTAGATATCGTCTGTCACATGTACAGCTAGATATCGTCTGTCACATGTACAGCTAGATATCGTACTGTCACATACAGCTAGATATCGTCTGTCACATATACAGCTAGATATCGTCTGTCACATATGGCTTGATATCGTCTGTCACATGTACAGCTAGATATCGTCTGTCACATGTACAACTAGATATCGTCTGTCACACGTACAGCTAGATATTGTCTGTCACATGTACAGCTAGATATCCTCTGTCACATGTACAGCTAGATATCGTCTTTAACGACATATGTACAGCTCGATATCGTATGTCACATGTACAGCTAGATATCGTCTGTCACATGTACAGCTAGATATCGTCTGTCACATGTACATCTTGATATCGTCTGTCACATGTACAGCTAGATATCGCCTTTAACGACATATGTACAGCTAGATAACGTCTTTAACGACATATGTACAGCTAGATATCGTGTCACATGTACAGCTAGATATCGTCTGTCACATGTACAGCTAGATATTGTCTGTCACATGCACAGCTAGATATCGTCTGTCACATGCACAGCTAGATATCGTCTGTCACATGTACAGCTAGATATTGTCTGTCACATGTACAGCTAGATATCGTCTGTCACATGCACAGCTAGATATCATCTGTCACATGTACAGCTAGATATCGTCTGTCACATGCACAGCTAGATATCGTCTGTCACATGTACAGCTAGATATCGTCTGTCACATGTACAGCTAGATATCGTATGTCACATGTACAGCTAGATATCGTCTGTCACACGTACAGCTAGATATCGTCTTTAACGACATAAGTACAGCTAGATATCGTCTTTAATGACATATGTACAGCTAGATATCGTCTGTCACATGCACAGCTAGATATC